ATGTCTTCACATTGAAATACAAGGGACTCCTTGATTTTATTTTCAATAAAAATTGAAACTTGGATTGTAGATTCAGAAGCCATTTTTCACGCATTCCCTCATAAATATGTGTTTAAAAATTATACTCAGAGTGAGTTAGGAAACATTTATGTGGGGTTAATAAGGTAGGTTGTATTGTAGGAAAGAGGACAGTTTAAAAGCTTAAAAAAGTTAGACATGTTTCAAGTCTAAAGAGATATATGATCTTTATGAGCAAATTAGCTAAGTAAAGTTATATGACTACTTTAATTAATAAGTAACTCATTGAATGTGACTAGGGGACAATGGTGATGACTTGGGGCAATATTAAAGGTATTCTTAAATTGATCAATGAAATGACATATTTGATGTGAATAGAACCAAGGTGGATGCAAGTATGTGCCATCACAAGCTTGGTCATATGAGAGAGAATAATATGAAGTCCCTACTTTCAAAGAATAAACTTCAAGGCATGAATTCTGTAGATTTAGATTTCAATGAAGATTATGTATATTTTAAGCAGAAGAAAGTTTCTTTCTCCAAATGTTGGTCAATGATGAAGTCAAAGAAATTAATCTTAGTGCATACTGACGTATGGGGGCCTACTCCAATTTAGTCCATTGGAGATTCTCAATACTTGCACATTTTATTGATTATCACCCCAACAAGTTATGGGCATACTTCTTAAAACAAAAATCTTGCATATTTGAAGTGCTTAAGAAGTTTAAAGTCATGGCAAAAAATGAGAAAAAATTGAAGCAGAAGTATCTCATATTAGATAATGGGAGCAAGTACTGTGATCAGATATTTAGAAAATATTGTTCCTCGAAGTGTATCAAAGATGAGTTTATTGATCCAATAGCTCCACATCAAAATAAAGTAGTTGAGCACATAAACATAATGATCATGGAGCATGTCAGAAGTATGAGATTCAATGCAAGCTTGCTAAGTCAGTTCTAAGCGGAAGCGATGAACATTGTAGTGTATATGATCAATTATTGTTCATCAGTATCATAGATGAAGGGCTTGTTTGAAGATGTATGGAGTTACAAAGAGGTAAATCTATCTCATAAAAATGTATTTGATTGTTTTGTATATGTACATATTGATGTAGGGTCTAGGAGTAAACTTGACTCAAAATTCGTCAGGTATACTTTTATGGAGTATAACTCAAATGAATTTAGGTATCAATTTTTGGACTATTAGAATTAGAAGTTCATCAAGAGCATGCATGTTACTTTCAATGAAATGAAATTATGTCAGGATAGGATCAAAATCAGGATTGCCCATCAGTTACTTCTAAAGAGTTCAAGTATATTAAGATAGAAGATACTAATGATTATGAGGGAGGAGAAAGAAGAAGTCCTTAATTAGATAAAGCTTATGATATTCCTCAATCAACTGCTACTGAAGTCAGGAGGTCCAACAGAGCTACTCAACTTGCACAGATGTATTCTTCTTATTTATACTATTTATTGTTAACATATAGTGGTGAACCAGTGTTATGTGAATGCCACTCAATTTGAAGATTCAAAGGAGTGGAAGTTTGCAATGGATGATGAAATTCAATCCTTAAAGTTATATCCTCTATTTATTATTTAATTTTGGGACCAACTACACATTTGCCAACCAATCCACATATTGAACTTCTTTGATGAATTTTACAATGAGCAATATTTGTACCTCTTAACGAATTGGTTCAATCAAGGTCTTAATTATGAAGGTCCATTTTCAGCTGGAATTCTTGTAACTATAAACGATAGAACTCCTCTTTGAGTGACCTGGGGGAGAGGTTCAAACAATCATGTATAACCTTTTGATGTTAGAGGTATTGCTAAGCCTAATGCCTCAAATAGATTATTGAATATTTGTCCGATTAATAAGCTTAAAAGCTTGATCATTTGTAACCCATGCATGTCAAAGTGATATTGATAAAGTCATAAAAAATTGGGTAGATATAAATATTTTTACAATTGCAACTTAAAATTTTGGTTTTTATGGAAAAGGGGTGTGGAGGTGAGATTGCTTTATGATATTCCTCAATTTACACAATTAAAAATTAGACTTCTTAATTATTTGGTGCAGACTATTATCATCTACAAAAGTTGTGTTGTTGGTTCTAGTGATGAGCTTTAGGGAAACTTGAAAGTGATTCATGACACAGTGGATGTTCTTTGTTTAGTTGGTGTTGAATTTAATGTTATTTTGTCTCCTATGGAGAAGAAAGGAGGGAGACATCCCTCTTATTCCACAATGCTGAAATTTAAGAACAACATTGATAATAGCCTATTTGAAGCTAAATGCACCGGTAATTTGTTTGCCTAGAAAAGAGGTAAGACTTGAAAGATTATATCGAGTGCTAATTGATCATAAATGGTAAGACTTGCTCATTTAAGTTTCTCCTCTTTTGATTAAAATAGATTTTTGTCATAAATTAACTAAACTTCCTTTTTGTTTTCTTAATGTCCGAGTCAAGCATGAATCTTTTAAAGAGGTTATTGCTAATAACTATTTTATTAATTTTACCACCTTCCATTAGGTTACTTTTTAGAAAATGCATAAAAATGGTGCTAGTCACATGAAGGATTAGAATTGAAAAGTCTATGAGAACGTTACTACCAATGTTTTGGAGGCTTAAAAATATCTTTGCCATATGGAAAAATAATTTAGTGATGACCATGTTAATGAAGTTGATGTAATTGATGTGCATAATAAGATGCATGTTGTCATTCAAACAAAATTGATTTCTTGCGACAGAAAGCAACTTATGTTAGTTTTATGGAGGGTGATCATAACTGTATAAGCTTTTTCATGTTTGTATTCATCAAATAAGGCAAGATACACTATTCTGATAATCAAGGAGAGTAATGCAGAATGGCTTTATGAGAAAGATAAATAAATAGTAGTGCGATAAATTACTTTCAAAATCATTTCAATGCTTCAGATATAAAACTTGCTAATTTTAAAAGAGATATTTTCGATACATCTTATTTCTTTTTTTTTATCAGAGTTAGTTTACTGCCATTCCAGAGGAACAAGAAATATTTGATGCTCTTAGTTTGCAAGATCATAAATAAGTTGTTGGACAATAATAACTATTCCATTATTATAAACAATTAGAACCATGGTCACTTTAAATCGGGTAGAGGATTAAAATAAGGGATCCACTATCCCCCAGTCTTTTTGTTATTGATCTCGATTATTTGTCCTGCTTACTAAACCGGCACCTCGTATCTCATAGTAATTGTTATATTTCTTCTAAATGTGGTGAACTTATTTCTCATTTCATTATGTGGATGACCTTATTTTATTTTGTAATGGTAAAAAGAGCAATATTAATCAAATTGGATTTTTGGAGTGGCGACAATTGGAACCACTCTAAACTCCAAAACATTATTGGTTCGGATTGGATGAACATCATTTTAAATATATCTTTTGATAAAGGTAAGAAAGATAATGCTAGAATGAAACTTGACATGAATACTTCTATTTCCAAACGTGCACTTCAAATCATATTCACCGTCCTGAGATGGAGAAAGGTAGTGCTAAAATGTTAAACGCTATGTTTAAACCTTCGCAAGCCTTCTTTGCGTGCAGCCTCAAATTTAAATTTTTATCTGTGGATGACATTTTAAATTTAAAAGGCATACTTTTTCATTCAATCTGCTTACTTTGTCGGCAGGAGGAGGAATACTTTTTGCATCTATTTTTTCGGCGTAGGTTTGTTTCCTTAGTTTGACTTGAAATGGCTAAGTGTTTAAATGTTATTTTTTTTCCTTTTGTTGGTTATTATTCTCCAGAAAATGCTTGACTAATTGGAATTGACATGATAATGATAGTCATTTGCAAAGTTTTATGCCATTTATCTGTTGTTGGTTCATTTGGATGGAAGGAAAAAACAAAAAGTACATGGATATTTGCTTTACCGGTTGAGAGGGTGATTATGCACATTAAAGCTTTTATTTTCAAAGTTCTTAAATATAATAGAAGCAGAGCATCTAATTTGTCAGATCTAATGCATATTAAAATACAGATGAATATAATGGGCGAGCCTTCTTGCAATTCCCATTACATCTCTCTGTTTCGGTTAGTTTACTGGTGCAGGCCGCAATTCCCTGGTATTAAAATCATGTGGATGACTAGTATGCCAGGCAGATGAATATAATGGGTGAGCCTTCTTGCAATTCCCATTACATCTCTCGGTTTCGGTTAGTTTACTGGTGCAGGCCGAAATTTCCTGGTATTAAAATCATGTGGATGACTAGTATGCCAATGTTCGAATGTTCAATCGTGTGTGGGAGGTTATTTCGTGACAGCTCTGCAAAGTGTTTGATTTATTTTGATGCACCTTGCGCCTCTATTACAACCCTCTATTTTGAGGTTATTGTGATATTATACTACTTGTTGGTACCAGGAAAGTTTGGTATGTATTGTCTTCAGATTGAGACAAATTTAAAATTGGTTCTATTTGCCTGTGGTATTGTGTACATATAGACACACACACACGTACATACATATTATTTTATTGTTCATGTTTGTGTTTAGCTCACAAAAATGGGGCAATTACATATATAGCACCCAAAATATTTTTATTTACAAATGTAGCTTTAACGTGCCAATTATTTGATCAAATCTTATTCATCCATTTTTCAAATTCTCACATAAATATCAATATTTAAGATAAAAATCCAACCAATATTTTTCATTTTTATCAAATTTTCAATGATTTGATCATGACGCACATAAATACATCGTTTCATTAGTTCAAAAATATCACATGAGTGCTAGATTTTGTAATAACAATATTTCAGATTGTATTTATCTAATTATCCCTAAAATAAAAGAGCATATGATAAATTAAATTAGAGCAAACTCTCCAGCCAATCACAAAACGTTCCTGGTTGCCACGCTGAGAGTAATATATTCGTACGGAAAGATTCATAATCATAAAAATAAGTAAATAATCTGAAAGGTGGAAGTTGTAACCATAAAAATATTATATTTTTTAAGGGAGAGAAAAGTAAGCTGACTATTGCCAAGCGCAACTGTACAGTAACTGGCGCAGAACCACAAAGGGAAGGCTCTAATAACTACCCAAAACAGAGGGAAAATCTCACAAACAAACAACGGTCATATTTGCGCCCACAAGCCAGCCTTGGATTTTGTCTTAAGCCAGTCACGGGCAAAGCAAACTCAATTGCCAGTTTCCCAATTCTTATAACTCATTCCCTCCCTCTCCTTCTACCCAGTTCTATCTGCTGCAAACAAAGCAATCTCCTATATCAGCAATGGCTCCCCTTCCATCCTACCCAGAATCTGTCACCACTATCATATCTACCGTTGGCCACAACTTCCGTGTGCTTCTGTCAAGCCCTGCCATCCGCCGCACCCTCCAGCTCCATTGCACTTCTAAACTTACAATTCCTAACAGCAGATTCTTCGAATTCTTTGACCATTCGATCCTCTCAAGCCTCTATTGGGGCATTGAGACCATTGAAATAGCCATCAATACCGACTCAGCAAAAGAGCAAAATACCCTCCTTGCTAACTCTGAGAAGATGCTGCAGGTTCCAGCAATGCTTGATGAGGATGCAACCACAGCAGGCAAATACATAGTCTGCTGTTCCTACTTCCACTTGGCACTTATCAGGATGCTCTGGAGTGATGAGTGGCAGATGGCGATGCATTTTCTTCAAGCAGTCTTGGTGCTACCGAGCTGTGTAGAAACAGAACTTGCTCCAGAATTGTATGCGAGCTTATTCAATTCTTTGGCAACCAATGGAGGTGAAGAAGCAGCAAGACAACAGGCAAGGAGGTACAAGGACTCTCTAATGTTCTACCAAGTGGTCTGCTGTGATAAATCAAGAATAAATCAGTGAGTGCTTTGCTTGTAACGAGAAATTTTGAGTTTTAATACGAAGTATTAAAGGTTGAGACAATGAATTGAATGAATGCTTAAGCACTAGATGGTATCATTGAATGGTCGCATTGTGACTTGCAGCATTTTTCATGGTAACAAAGTTGGAGGGGACAAAATAGATAATAAAAGGATGGCCTCCAAACTTTTGCCTCAAAAGTTCGATTGTTTTATGTGTCCTCTCTCTGGTAAATGACAAGTACAAGTTAGATTCCTACCATACCACATTAAAACCTACCAAATGTCATGCTTATTCAGACAAACATGCTGAAGTCTAGATATCTAACAAAAAAAACGAGTTTTTATGACAGCAATACGTAGTCATAGCTCACATGATGGTAAAGTGGCTTCCATTTATAATGTTGAATAACCTGAATTGGAAGTATTAGTAGTACATTATTGTGTGGCTTGGAAAAAAAAAATGGCTTCAATTCATAAAGAAAGATTTTAACTTCACTGTATTATCACAGGTTTAGAGGCTTCTCGAGGAGCAGATTTCTCCAAACAGATGAACAAGAACCTACATTAGCAATCCTCATGGATGTAAGCATCAGTACAATTTTTTTTTGACAATCTACTGTAAAATTGATAAGTAAAAATGTTTAAAACTACTAGGATAAGTATTTCTTTACTATATGAAGCTACTTCTTACCATGCATGTAAGTCTTAAGTGTTGGCATTATTATTTTTATGTTACTTGAGGTCTTGTTCTTCCCATCTGCTGCCTATTTATCCTTCACTTTACATTCCTAAATCCCATATCTAACTTTTAACGGTTCATATTTAGTAGATGCTGTGCCCGCAATTTCTCTAATATAGATTTTTCACATTTTTCTTTCTGGTTTTGTCACATTTCTACCTTGACATTATCCATGTGTAACAGTATCAAAAAAACCTCCATGAAACTTCTATTCAGTGGCATAATTTTAGCACACAATGCGACTGTTCTAAACAAGTGGAGTGAAATATATACAGGTTAAGAAAGCCAACCACTTAGATCCCAGTTATGATATGGGCAGAAAGAACATTATGGCTATTGTGTCTAACTCTGCGGAGGAACATGATTCTGCTGAACTTAACAACAGGAGAACTGCGGATGAAAGTTTTGACACAAACATCAAGGATAGTTTAGACATAAGACTTCTACAAGAGATGCTAGAGGAGTCACACTCAGATTCATCAGTTTCCACGCGCTCAGATTCCACTATAGCAAGTGAATCAGAGGTATAACTGATATCCAAACAGCTTATTTAATTTAAGAGATGCAAGAGATACGGTTTCTCCTGCCACTAATACTCAAAATATATTATTGCATAAGACTTATCTAGATCATTGGGGAAGTCCACTATAAAAAAAATTCAAGGTAGAAATCACATGTTACTGTTTATAAAGTAAAATCCAAGGAGAATAAATCGCATCTACAATATCCAGAATACAATTTCAAAATGGATATGCAAAACTCAAGAAAATTAACTAAATCTCTGATCTTCAAACAGATAACTTACTTACTGTTGTTACTAGTTCCTGAATCAGTTATGCATAACCAAGGGAGGTCCAGGAAATGTCTTCTTTGACAATGAAGATCCTTCAGCTGCTAATATTACTGACAGGTATGCATATGAAATATTTGAAGATAACAGAAATATAACTCCTTTTCATCAAATAATATATTTCTGTTTTCTTTCTATAAAAAATCTGATGTAGGAATTGTTTTCCCAAAGTTCTGCTCTCAGGTGTACTTTATCTTGTGATCCAATCGGTTCTCTAAGTGAAATACCAGCCCCAGACAATGAAACAAATGGTATGCAATTATTATCATACAGAGCGAATGGTTCCCGGACTTACCGGAACTTTTCAACACTGTATTCCAGAGTTGTGGATACAAATTCTTACTTTGACTACCAAAGAGAAGAATTTTTTTCTAGAACATCATCACCAAGCCATGATGTCAGATGCTTGAGCAGTATTACATCAAAATTCCAAAAAAAATATCATATTTCTGAATTGATTCATCATGAAAGTTTTGCACAAAAGAATAAGAAAATCTCCATTACTGAGAAAGACTTTAGTGAAGATAGCTCACCTTATCAGAATGCCAGAGAACTTCTACAAGAATTTGAAAATGTCATTTTGTCTTTATGCGCCTCAGAGAATTCATGGAATTGCGACGATGTCAATTGGGAAATGAATACTATGTGGAAAATGCTGCATAATATCCCTGTGCTGAAATACAGTTCAGCAAAGCAGGAAATGCTCCAACAGCTTCTTAAGAACCTATCAAGTTCTAAAAGAGAGAGTGAAGTGAGGGCTTCAGTATCCATATTATTGGGCCTCATATCTGTAGACAAGGCAATTATAGATGATATTAAAAGAGAAAACTCTCATCTGTATAATCTAGCAACTGCATTGAAGAGAAATGTGCATGAGGCTGCAAGTCTTATCTATTTGCTCAATCCTTCACCTTCTGAGCTTAGAAGTTTAGAACTTCTACCATATTTAGTAGAGGTTGCGTGCAGCTCAAACAAGGAAAAACAGGGAATGAGGTCTCTATCCATCACACCTACGTCAGCATCTATAGCCATGATTGAAATTCTTGTTACGGCATTTGATTATGTTACAAATAATATGCACTTGACAGCTATTAGTTCTCCTCAGGTTCTCACTAAGTTTGTGAATGTTGCAATGAAAAACAAAATCAGTGAAGGTGTAGCCTTGACAACTATTCTCATGAGATGCATGCGACTTAATGGAAATTGCAGAAAGTTTTTGTCTCAGGTTACTCCAATAGATCCATTTATTCATCTACTAAGAAGTAACAAAATGATTGCCAAATCAGCTGCACTCGACTATTTCCATGAATTACTCCTCATGCCAAGGTATGATTAGTACATAGCTTCCATCTACTTGGGAAAAAAAAAATGATACATCGATCCAAAGTTCAATTTTTAATTTTTAGCCATATCTGATGAACTGAGACACAACATTAGAGAAAAAGCTATTAACATATACCTTTTCATGGAATAAGAAAAATAAAAATTATAAAAGCACTTGATAGCAAGTCAAGACATGTATCTATATATATATATAACTCCAAAACATTATTTCTTACATTTATATTCCCCAAATTTTCCATATCACACCAAAAGTACAACTCTTTTAACATTAACACGAAAGAGAAATACATGTTCTTTATATATATATATATATATAGATGATGTACCGATAGCTACACTGAAATAGAATAGTAAATTTTGTCACTTTTCTCAAAATTCTCAATAAGCAAATAGAATGATACATCGAGCCAAAAGTCAATTTTTAATTTTCAGCTATATATGATGAACTGAGACACAACATTAGAGAAAGGCTATCAACATTTAACTATTCATGGAACAAGAATAAAAAGGGGTCTTTTAAATACAACCACATAATTCTTACATATTTATATATTTCTAACCTAAACATTTATATTTACTTACATACCAATAGAATCTTTGACATCACATCAAAAATATCACTATCACGAACATTTAAAAGTGAAAAATATGTTTTCATGCATAAGGTTTTAATACCAAAGTGTTATAAATGTAAATATTAAACTTTAGGTGTTAGATACGTAAATACATAAGAGTTACACGTAAATACATAAGAGTTAGATACGTAAATACATAAGAGTTACACACAAACACACACATATACAAATATACATATAAACATATATACAAATAAGTAAATACTGCTGTAAAAATAGCTATATTATATTAGAAAAACAATTTTTTCACTTTACTCAACATTCACAAAATTGCACTAATTCAATTGTATCCAAATTTCGACGGGGGAGAACAGCATGGGAATGGAATATTAACGGTCACAAGTTTAAAAATGCAGTTGGTGCTGCATTTTGAGGTTTATTTTATGTGAAAAATCATTATCAGCAACTTGAATATATATTTTCATGCTAAGGCTTTCCTCTATTTTAATCAGGTCATCAGCAATTAGACTACTACAACAGATACAACAAGCGGAGAGAACCAGCATCGAGCCAATCCTACTAGCATTTGTCAAACAAGTCAAAAATGAGAAGCAACTCTTAGCAGCAAACCTTCTTCTTCAGCTGGACATAATGGTAATGGTAATTCTATGCCAGTGAAATAAGTCTTTCCAGGACCTTTGGATAAAATAAGTACGAAAATTGAGCGAGTGGTCATGGAAATTCCCATCTTATATTGACATAGCAAGCACTTTCATTCAAAACATCTAAGTATTTCTACAAAAATTCTATGTACAACTTAAAAAAAGAAATGAAAAATCATAAATAGCATCAACAACAAAATGATGTTAAGCATGGGCACTCTATGTTTGATATTGAAGATGCCCTCCGTTAGGTAGCCCAATGGTTATGCAAACTTATCTTTCACATTTATTTTTTCAGAAGATGCAACTATATCGAATGTTGGGAGAGATGCAAAAACTATTTGGAGAGATCATAAGCAAAACATAGAACAAAAGCACACAAAATTCGAAAACTCAGAGAACACAAGATTTAACATGAAAAAATCCGAACACAGGAAGAAGCCAAGAAGCCACACCACACCTGCAAGAAATACACTGAATCCAGAGAACACAAGATTTAACATGAAAAAACCCGAACGAAGAAGCCAAGAAGCCACACCACACCTGCAAGAAATACACACTGAATAAAATGGGAAGAATTGAATTCATAATACTCAGCACCATCACTCCACAATACCACTTGTCCTTTAGCTATAATAAACTCCTCTATTAGTAGCACTGTACAGTATTCCTTTTTAGTTATTTAATAGTTTTTATATTGAATTCATCCAAGTATTCTCCTAAGCTTCATCTCTCTGATGGAATCAAATCAAGTTATGAACTAACTTTACCTTCTCTATCTTCCTCTCCTCTCTTCCTCTCACTATCTCTCGTCACATACTTCATTTTTTTTTTTTTAATTTACCTACAACTACTCATGAACTCCTAATCCCAAACCAGCAACACACATCCAACCTAATTGTTGAGATTAGTATTTACTTAAGGGTTCTTTTTATAAATAGAAGAATTAGATAAATTTATTTGTAAGAAGTTGTGAGGTTTTATATGAGCCATAAGTTATTAATGAAATGGACTAGGGTTCAGAGCCTTCGATTCTCCAATATTGTGATACAGTCGTAGCAAACAACAAAGGATTGCGGCGTACAGAATCGTGAAGGAAAGCAGGCGACGGGCTTGCGGAAGCTATCTGGGAAGTGAACTACACGCTACGAGACCGATGGCTGCCCTTGCGTGAAGAAATCTCGTGATACGGTCGCGATTCAACGACACGCTCACGCGTGACCTAGGACCGAACAGTTGGGGACAGCGCTGCTGTGCAGAGCGGCTCGGTACAGGGAGGATCGATCCAAATGAAAGAGACGACGCCTTCGACTTCTGAATTGCCGCAGAGTGGTTCGAGCGGCTTGGTGCAGGGTAGAGGTGAAGCGCGTGTGACAACAGAGCTATGGAGGAAAGAAGTTCCGTTCTGAATGTGTGAGAGACCAAAAATTTTTTTTTGCGGATTTCTGACGTACCTCTACGTGCGGTGCAGGTTATTCCTGAGTTATTTTCAGGTTATTTCTGGGATCCCGAAATAACCCAGAAATAATTCCTAGATAGCTTATTCCTGGGTTATTTCGAGATCTCAGAAATAACCTGAAAATAACTCGGGAATAACCTGCACCGCACGTAGAGGTACGTTAGGTGTCCGGATAGAAAATGCGCACGTGAGAGACTGGGGAATTGTTAAATTGAGCATGTGATGACATGGAAAAAGTATGAGAGGTAAAGATTTGGAGCTCCTGAAAAAGATAGATATTAAAGTTTTGAATTTTTGATGATTTTGGTCAGGCTCATACAGAGAGCTAGCGTTTTTTACGGGAGCCAATACCTCAACACATTCTCTGATGCAGGTGAAGTTTGATCTTCCTCTATGGATCTGAAACTTGATGGATCGACCGCATATCTGAGTTGATTACATCGGATCAAAATGTTTTAGTAGGCAAGAGATTGAAGGGATATCTGACGAAGGTCCAGCAAAAAAATGACAATCTGAGGGGATGAGTGGATGACCGCACACGCCTTGGTTTACAGCTAGCTACTCAATTCGATGGTTCCTCCGATTGCTTCATCAATAGATGACATTCGAAAGTTGAGGGACATCTGGGCGAATTTGAAGGGAATTTATGTTGGACCTAAGAACCAAATGTGAGTGTTTCAGATTTAACGTGAGATAGAGACAATGATATAGGGTGATAGATCGATTCAGGAGTACTCCATAGATCTAGAGAGGTTGTGGGCAGATCTTGATTACTCCTCACCGATGTCGAGCTGTGGTGATCTGGGATGCAATAAGGGGGAAATTTTTGCATGGATGAGAACTATGTTGTTACTGGCTTTTCTAAACCCGTCTTTTGATTAGACGAGATCGGTCCTCCCAACCCAAAAAAATGATCCCTTCACTCGATGAAACCATCACTGCGATGATACAGGAAGAGAGTCCCATGAGACTACACTCTAAGCCAAGTGGAATTCCAGGTAAGCGATTAACTTTGGCTACCTCGAGCTCAGCTTTAACAGGTGTTTAGAGGGAGACTTGCAAGTGTTACAAATGCAATGAAGTAGGCCATCTGAGCAAGGTCTGTTCTAGGCTACCTATGGAGAGAGGGAGAGAGAGAGAGAGAGGTGGATGTGGATTGTTTGGTGGTCATGGTCGTGTTCATGTGGTCAAAGAGGTGGAAGAGAGAGCTATTAGGCAAATCTAATGGTAACAGAGAACGAGAACAAGAAAGCTATGGTCTTTATCGATAATAATCATGAGTTTTTTAAGATGCTGAGCAAGCAAAAAATAACAGGTGATGGGATTGAGAATGCATCCACTTCATCATCATTAAGGGGTAACAATACTACTTATGGTCACTCTGACAAAGGTATTCGTTATACGCATGCTCTTGTCGTTATTTTGACAACAAAATCATCATAATGAATAGTATATTTTGGTGTATCTTGACATGTGACAGACACTACTAGAGTGTTCTCTTTAAAACTTATCTAATAGTTTTAGAGAACATCACGGTCTATACTTGTTAAGGATACAGTATGGTGTATTGATTTTATGACTTTTTCAAATGTTTTGTGTGCTCCTTTTATAGTGAACATTTTATCCATTAATATCACTATTCTTCAATTAAAATGTATTGTGTCATTTGATATTCTAAATGTGATATTTCAAGAGAAATAAACAGGTCAGATACTCAAGACTGGAACGTAGCATAGTAAACTTTGTTACTTGGATAGAGGGGGGATGGACCCAACTTTGTGATTCATGGTAAAGAGTGCTGGAGTAGGAGGATCTGGAAGAAGTGTGGATGATGTGTTGCTGCTACATCACAAACGTATGAGACAGTCTTATTTTCGCTTACTGAGTCATTTGTATCCTTTTTTACGAAAAAATACATAAGAAAAAACTTGTATGTGATGCTTGTGAATAGGGCTGTCAAAACAGCTCATTAATTAGCTCGTGTTCGGTTAGTTCGCTTAACAAGCTATCTAATCACGAATAATTTTTTGCCCTCGAAGTATAAACAAGCCGAATATGAACAAAGATTTGTGCGTTTGTGTTCGATTTGTTTTGGCTCGAAATAATTATATTTATATATACATACATATATATATATATATACATACATATATATATGTATGTGTATGTATATATATATATACACTATAATGCAACAACAATTTATAACCAATGAGAACTGCTAATTAAGAATAGAATAAAAAAATTAATTTTACTTCAATGAATATTTTAATATAAATAATAAGATTTAAATCCTGTCTACCCTTAAGATCCAAGGTTATGTGACTAAGATTGTCAAAATAGTACATTAATCGTGAACAACTCGTATTCGACTCGATAAGCAAACTAGCCAAACACAAATAAAATTTTTGAGCTCGATATATAAACGTTCTGAACACAAATAATAATTATTTTTAGAAAGTAGAGCCTAGGCTCGCTCAAACTAGGCTAGATTTCACCCCTAACGGCTGCATGCGTGAATAAGGTTGTCAAAATGACTCTTTGTTCAAGAATAACTTGTGTTCAGCTCACTAATCAAACAAACCGAACTAGAAAGAGTTTTTTATTGTTTGAAATATAAACAAGCCGAACACAAATAGTGGTATTTTTTAACAAGCCGAACATGAGCTTAGCCCGGGCTAGCTCGTGTTCGGCTCGTTTACACCCTTGTGAATTTGGTAAGCTTACTAGGAGCTTTTATATCAATTTTGGGATTAAGAGTTATTGTGGCTTTGATTTGATACATTCTATTAATTTGGGATTATGTACGAGTTCAATGAATGGTCATCTATATTATGTACAAGTTCAATAAATGGTTATTTATATTTTTTTACTTTAATTGATTGTTTTTTTCGTGTTACTTAATTGTATCTGATGAAAAACAAGGGTGATACACTTTCTTGTTTTAAAGAATTTTACAAGACAACCCAAACTCAATACAATAGTGAAGGTATTGCGGTCTGACAATGGGACAAGGCGTTTGGGGAATACTTGTTAGCCTAAGGAATAAAATATCAAACCATATGTTCATACACACCGACACAAAATGGAATAGTAGAGAGGAAGAATAAAAACCTTCTAGAGGTTGGCTGAAACAAGATGATTTTGATGAACATCTCAAAGCGTTTGTAGGGGCAAGCAATTTTGATAGTTGATCAATTAATCAACAGAATACTCTCGAGCTTATTGGATTAAAAGTCTCATTGTTAAATGTTGAAAGAAGAGAATAGTGAGATTCTCCATTGAATGTATTTAGCTTTGTATTTTTTGTGAATGACAACAGATCATCAATAAGGAAGCTGGATCCTAGAGCTGTGAAATATGTTTTCATGGGGCTACCCAAAAAGAAGTATGTTTGTTGGAGTATAATAGAGAAGAGACCGTTTGTGAGCATAGATTTGTTGTTTAAGAAACTCGAACTGTATTATACCCTAGAAGTGACTTCACCCTTTGGTGACTCGCCAAATACCAGGTGGCGAGTAGTAATAGTGAAAAATTGGTGCTTGTGAGAGTGATGCCTTGTCTTGTATATGGGATGAATCGGTCGAGGAACCAAAAAAGGAGAAATTTGAACCCGAAAGTGGTGAAATTCAGGCTGAAGGAGAGCTGAGGGTTTATTCAAGGAGAAGGAAGCAAAATGAGGGAACTGTGCCTGCAGTGTCATTCAAGTCAGCAAGTCCCTTGTCGCGGTCTACCCCGATTCTTTAGAAACCTATAACATCTACCTTGGTCTCAAAATTCACAAGTGATATGATTCCTCTTCTGTCTACTTCCAACCCCATAAATTTATAAAGGTCTACTCACTGTAATGCGGGACATACTTTTAATCGTTTTTGGTGAGAACATGAAATTTCTTAGTTTATTTCATAATCTAACATATCACTTGTGCATTGAACATTCATTACATCTTTAGACACAGTCTCTATATCAAAGTGTTGACAAGTAGCTTTGAAGGATTTTAAGTGTAAAGCGGCTATGCATGTTTGGGGCTCTCAACAAAAATAGAACATGGGAAATAGTGTCATTACCAACGAAAAAAAGAGTTGTTGGGTGCAAGTGGACCTTCACAGTGAAACAAAATCCAGAAGAAATGGTAGAGCGTTACAATGTACGATTATTGACAACATGGTATAGTCAGACGTATGACATTAACTAAGATGAAATCTATGCACCAATAACGAACGTGAGCACAATAAGGACATTGATTTCTCTGTTAGTGAATTATGGTTAGAGTTACACCAAACAAATGTGAAGACTGTATTTCTAAATGTACATTACTGAAAGAGGTGTATATAGAGATACCATTGAGATTCAATATAGGTCGACAACGAGCAAGGTGTATAGGCTTAGGAAGTCACATTATGACTTGAAGTAGTCTCCTCGAGTCTAGTTTGACACATTTAGAAAGGCTATGGTGGGCAAGGGATATTAACAAATCAATGCCGACAATACGATGTTCTTTCAACAACATGGAGGTCACATCACTATGCTTGTTGTGTTATTGATAACATGATTTTGACTGGAGATGATAATGGAGAGACTGCTCATTGATCCCAAGGAAATATAGTTGTGTAAAATTTATATAAGTTTGACTTCCGTATATAACGGTGCCAAAAAACTTGATGCAATATTTATGATTAAGAAATTTAAGCAATTAATGTTGAGATTCTACGCAAGTATACGCATCGTTATCAAGTAATAAAAGTCTTTCTATTTAAGTCTCGAATATCGATCCCACGGAGAATGTTTAAATTTGAAGTGATAAATTTACTAGAAAATTCACAGAAGGTAAAACAAAATTACTGTCACTAATTTCGAATGCTGAGATATTATCAAAACTAAATTATTTAACTATTAGCAAAATTGAAATGCAAAGTTTAAACAATAACTACTAAACTATTAAACTATGTTTATGTGATGAAGATTTCCTTATGTGAAAAAATATTTTTCCCACTATAATGAGATTTTGGTAAAATGAGATGAGATAAATGGTTTTAATATGTATTGTGCCAAATAGAAACAGTTTTAATTCTCTTTCCTGATACAGTGTTATAGAAAATCATTGGCTAATCTTAGGTTTAGTCCCCAAATCCGTTGCTAGGCTAGAAGGATACTGGCTCCCACTCCAGAGCTCGCACTTTCCTTCACCTGAAGTCTAACTCTCGCTTTAGTTTTTAAACACTAAGACCGAATTTGAGATTTTAGTCTATCACCCTAAAATCTCCAATTCTACACCCAACAACGTATATTTTCCTATTTATTTGCACTTAATTACATGAACAAAATACTTCTTCATGGAATCAAATGTGATCCTCACTCTGTTGTAGAACTCATACTTTATTTCCTGA